TGGAGTGGGCTCCCCCCCCCCCCCCCCCCCCGCAACGGATCTTTGCAAGCAGAGCCTCTGAGAAACACCAAATTCCTGTTCCCTAGTGACGGGACTCTCTTGGTGCCAGGAGAATTCCGTTGGCTCACCTGACACTGTCCCCCAAAGAGACACCTCCCCCCTGCTTTGGCCACGGAGGGCTGGGTGCAGCTCTCTCCAGAATCTGTCAACATTTCTCCAAGATGCAATTGGGAGGTTGGCTTTTGTGTGCCACACCTCTCCCCCCTTACACGCCGGCTGAGCACACTGGCCCTGCGCCCCAGCACTGTAGCTTCAGGCAAGCCTGGTGGGCCTGCAGGGCTGGCACCCCAGTCCTAACTTGAAGGAAGCGATTTCCATTATAAATTCTACTTTTGCATCACACGGCAGATTCACTTCCTGTGTAATTCCACTGACCTCAGCGACGCCACACTAAGAAGGGATTCTGCCCAGCAGCTGTGACCATTCAGAGCCCCTATTCTCAGGCCACATCCTCCTGTTATGGGTCCAGGCAGGTCCCACCCACTGCCAGCCCTGCAGCCCCAGAGGAGCACAGTGTACGCACCTGAGAATATGGAGACAGCGTTCCAAGGGACTGGGGGAGGGGACCCCGTTGCAGTGCAGGAGGGAGAGAAGAGAGAAAGGGGATATGATTAATGGGCCACACAGCATTTCATCTGCTCAAAATTACAGCCCTCTCAGTGAAACTAGAACTTCCTTAGTACTGTCAGGTACTCACGGAAGCCTGTGGGAGAGAAGGCTCCATGTGGGGAGAGTGGGCATAAATAGCAGCCTGTCCCTCCACCTCCACTCTGAGCACAGGCTGGAGAGCACAGAATCTGCTTTGATCCCATCCAGCCAGTGCCTGGAAGAGGAACTCACGGGAGCAACTCATTTCTCCCCCATCTCCTGGAGCAGGAAGAAAGTGTTTGGGGGAATTCTTTAGCTTCTTTCAAGAATATCCCTCGTTCCCATCACTGGAGCCGGCAGGAAGGCCCTCCCACGGCAGTGCTGGGATTTCCCTCGTGACAGGTACACCGTGACTTCAAGCATAGGAAGGAAGGGAAGCCTTCCGAGCTTGGCTTTCCCAGTTTGAAAACAACTGAAACAACCACCCCTTGAAGCCCCTCAACCAACCCCTCCCCTGCTTGTGTGGATGGAATCTCACCTGTTCCCAGAGGGTATGTCTAGACTGTGAGGATCTACTGGAAAAATCTACGCAAAATGCACTCCACATTTGCATATCTTTTTCTGATACTTTATTGGAAGAGGCTTTTCCGAAATTTGGCCCATCTAGACTGGGCCAAATTTCGGAAAAAAAACCCTCTTTTGAAAGCCCCCTTCTTCCTCATAGAATGAGGAATACTGGGGCTTCCAAAAGAGCACGTTTTCTCTTCCACAAAAAAAGCGGGAGAGCAAATGTGCTCCCTGGATGCGGTGGAGGTTTTTTTGGAATATCTCCGGTGTTCCGAACCCCTCCCGCCCACAGTCTAGCCGTACCCAGAGTGCCTGGCTCTGCATGCTTGTACCAAAACTCCAGATACAAAGGTAAGCCCAAGAGAGCCTTGCTCTTGCCAGCCTAGAGTCCTAGGGTTCAGAGAGGATTTCTCCTCTCTCCTGCCTTTCTGAGTTTCATCCCTAGCTTCATATAGAAATGGTGGCATCATAGCTGAGCTGCACAGATGGGGAGGGAAGGGGAAATGCCCTCAGAGGATGAGAAGGAACAGGCTGAACTGGGAAGCTCCAGGGATTTCTGCTGCTGTGAATGTCTGGCTATCTGTGAGGAGCTTGTATATTTCCCTTGGTATTGGTGAAACAGCAGCAACTGACTCAATGGGGAGAATGAAAACAGATGGGGGCTAAGTGAAGTCTGATGGGTTCACAGGAAACACCCACTGTCAAATACCACTTTGTGACCTCCTGCAGGGGTCAGAGGAGCAGCACTGGGCTGTCTCTGCAACAGTCTGAAATAGCATCAACTCAAGAGGTTTACACCAGAAAGCAGCAAATGCAGCCAGACACACCCAAAGCCAAAGGCCCACCCCTTTGCCCAGCAAGTTGCTGGCCATCTGACGCGCAGCAGCTTCTCATGGTTTCATTCTGTCGCTGTCTCAGTTGCGCTGTCCCCTGGTGTTGGAGGTCTGTGCCGCTGCATGCCATCCCTGTCTGTGTCACAGGTCACGTCGCCGTCCACAGGAGGCCCCGACGTGGCAACCTGCATTCTCTGCTTTAGCCAGAGAGCCTTTGAAGCTCCGACGGATGAAAGGCTGCAGAGCTCTCAGCATACACTGCTGCAGGGCACCTCAAGGGGTGAGCCTTAGCTGGCTCATAAGCCAACCAACCTTTGGGAGTCCACTGAGAAAAAGCGCTTCCTCTAAAATGCACAAAAGCTCCCGCTAGGGACTCTTATACATTTCAAAGCTGGCATGCACACGGAGCCTGGGGTCAGCTGCCGCTTTGAAATGCTGGGGGGGGGGGGGGCCCACGACCCAGCAGGGACTCTTGTACATTTCAAAGATGGAGTTCCACCGCTGTGCCTCTGCCCCCTCCCACAGAGCTGGAGCGGGGGAACCAGTTTTTAAGTCAACTCCCTCCAGCACTCTCTCCTCTTCCCACCCCCCCACCTCTATCTGATAGAGGCAGCAAGGGGGGGAAGCGACTAGTCAACTATCCTGTCAATTATCTGATAAGCATTTGCTTATTGGATAGTCAACACGTTGCCTAGTCCTTAACATCCCTAGTATGTAGAGTGATCCCCTTGGAGAGCTGTTGTTCAGTCTGCGCCCCATCTCTTCACTCATGTCATGGCCTCAGGCACTGGGGGACATTCGCCAGAGGAGCCCTTCCTTGGGGCAACCTTTCTCCCGAAAACACTCCCTTCAGATTACATGGCATGGCCATCGCTAGTGGCCTCCATCAGCATCAGATTGTAGCTAACTGATGCTCTAGCAGTTTTCTGCCTCTCATTCTTGTGGCTTACAGTGGAGGAGGCTGGGGCCAAAGTTCTCCAGTCGGGGCTCATTCTGGATTTCCAGACAACAGACTCGAATCCTTCTTGGTGATGTTCCAGGCCAGATTCTGTTCTTGGTCTCCTCACTGTAAATCTGAAGAAACCCCCTCCCTCCCAATGCCAATGGAGTAACTCAGGGTTCACACCCACAGAGTCACAAATGTCCCTCCATTAACCCTCATCAGATCCTGATGTCCCTGTTTGAATGTGCCAAGACTCAGTACCTCCCCATAGCTATATCTCTCCAGCGTCTCATCTGACATGTATCTGTGATAGGGCTCATAGGAAATGAGGTCGGGACGCTGCACCTCGTAGATGGCTTTAATCTTGGGAAGAGCTGCCAGGTCTTTGTAATTAAGGATCTCATTATCCACTTTAGCCTAGGAGAAGGAGAGAGAGAAGCAGAGAGACATAGAGAAAGAGAAAGAGGAGAAGGAAGGGAAGGGGAGGCTGGAATAGGCAATGTGACGCTCCCACCAGAGCAAACAGAACAGTGTCCACACAGGAAAGGGGAAAGGTAAGGAGATGTCCTCATGACAGGCACACACTCTCCCAGGAGAGAAGAGGCAGCGGTGGGGAAAGGGCTGAGTGGACTGTGGTGTTGAGCTGCCTGGCAAGACTCTTCCGAGTTCTCCTGTCTGATGTTTGTCCCAGAGGGCCTGCTGAAGGCAAGGCAGGCAAGCACTCAAGGAGGATTTCACCATCCCAAGGCTGGTCTTGTCCTGTGTGTGCACACCGCTTGCACTGCAGATTAGAACTGGGAACCCGCTGCTCCCAATCCTGAACAGCAACCTGATCAGTGCAGGGGGAGTCTCCTCCTGTGCCTCCTGGCTGGGACATATGGGGCACCCTTCCCCCATCAACATCAGGGACTCAGCTCGCACAACTCATGTACCCTCATCATCAGCAGAGCTATACTTACACAGATGACTCGGTTAGGGGAACCAATACTGGAACCAGGGGGCGAGATGGAGGTTTCTGATGTTCTTCTGTGCTGTGTACATACAAAAACACAAACTGATCAAACTTAAGCTAGGCATCATTCAAATCATGGCAATGAAGGGCCAAATCCAACCTTGGTGTAAGCAGGAACAATGCCATTGAAGTCAATGGAATTTCACGTGCTTAGTTCAGGGCTGAATGTTTCCCACTAACTCCAGGGGAAGGACAGCACCCCCAAATTCCAACCCTGTTAAACTGCCCAGTTCTGTATTCCCACCAGTCACTCTGGTGGTTGTATCTTGGCATTCTGTCTGTGTTTGCATAGTCCAAAATGTGTAGCCACTTTAGTAGCCAAATTCAGATCCAGCAAGAGAGGGAGACCCTGCACAGGATTTTGAAAGACATATAGCACCTTGACTGCTGGTTGCAGACACCCAAGCAGCTGTTAGTTGTATCTAATGCTAACTGACCAGAGCAGCAGGAAGTACAATACCAGGCTGTGGAAGACTTGAGGCAAGGCTTGGAAGGGAGAAAAAACTAGAGGGAGAAGGACTGCTAAAATGTGTGGGTTTACCTCCAAAGTTTGTTTCTAGTGATGATTTCAATCCTTCAACCCACCCATGGCCACTGCCTGTCAGTCAATGGTTTAGTCAGGCATTTCTCTGGCATTTTGCATGACAGTCAACAATGCATGTTCAATTTGCAGCTGAGGGCTGTGAGCATGGCCAGCAGCCTCGCCAGAGGCCATGGCACATGGACAAAGGCCTCCCAATGTTTACTGAATCTTCTGAACAGCACAGCAAAACGGGGGTTGAGCAGGCTAGGTAATCAGACTTTCCAGCAGGGTGAAAAGATACTTTACAGCAGTGTGCACCCAGCAGTGTGGCAGTGAAGCTGTCATTGAGACAGCAGGGAAGCAAGGGGCTGATCTGGATTATTCTGATATTACAAGGGAGGCAAGGGTTGGCAGCTTTGATGGACCATATGGTGAGTGTTCTCGTGGCCTAAAGCAATCCCATGTTTGTGTCTACCTACAGTTCAACAATAGGAACAAATTCCCACCCAACAAAGCACAAAGTCTGCCTGGTCTTTGACTCTGTGTGCTGGGAGTGGCCCCCTGCAGGGAGGAGGAAGTAGTATATGCAGTATAGGAAGGGATGCCTCCTCACACTGTTCAACAGCACCATGCAGACATTTACAGAGCTCCAGCTACTCTCCAAGTGGAGTCTTGCTCATGACTCCCAGAAGGAAGATGGCTGCAATGCAAAACCTCTGAGGCAGGAGGGAGTCCTCAAAGTTCTGGGCTGAGGACCCTTTGGAAAGCTGGAGGCTGAGAACATGCTGACTCTTGCACCAGGGTCTTGCAGTGTTTTTGGTACAGCAGGTCCCCTCAGTTTGGCAATCTCCACCATGATTCATTTTCAGCCAGGAAACAGATCACTCAGGGGCACTTTCAGAGATGTCTGCTTGTCTTGGAGGCACACTAGAGTGTGCTTCTGGTCCAGCCATCTGTCACAAAAACTCCATCACGAACCTCTGATGTTCTAGCTTACCTTCAATTTCTTCTCTGCTCTTGCTGCCTGTTTGCAGATCGGGTGCCACACTTCAGAACCTGAAAGCCAGAAGAAGAGCAGAGAACTTTCAACTCTCCACTGAAAAGACCGAACTTCCACTCCCAGCACACCCAGTTAGCTTAATTTTGGACCTGAATGCACTTCAATCCTGCAATACAACTGCCCCCACTAGACTATCCTGGAACCTTATAGCTCTGATGAGAATTCCCAGTCCTGGTCTGGAGCACCTTGAGCTGATCCAGTTCTGGGGCTCTTGGAAGTGAAGACACCCTTAGCAGCTGGAGACACCCAAGTCAGTGGATAGATCAGTGGTTCTTAACCAAGAGACGTAACTTATCTAGATATTTTCCTTGTTTTACAATAGGCTACATGAAAAGTACTAGCAAAGTCAGTATAACTTAAAATCTCATACAGACAATAACTTGTTTATGCTGCTTTATAACCTATACACTGAAATGATGAGCATAAAACCCACTTAATCAGATAAGTGGAGTGGAGTTTTCCACTCCAACTCATCTGATGAAGTGGGTTTTACACACAAAAGCTCGTGATCCTGTATATTTGTTAGTCTCCAAGGTGCCACAGGACTATGTGATGTTTTTAAAGTCACAGATTAACACGTCCTACCCCTTCTAGACTTTAGACGTTGAAATGTAAGTACAAAATTTATATTCCAATTGATTTATTTTATAAGTATATGGTAAAATGAGAACGTAAGCAATTTTTCCAGACTAGTGTGCTGTGTCACTTTTGTATTTTTATGTCTAATTTTGTAAGCAAATAGTTTTTAAGTGAGGTGAAACTTTGGGTAAGACAGACAAATTGAACACTGTCATCTCCTTAGCTCCTAAAGCCTATGATTACTGGCTGGTAAAGGTCAACATATGTTCACAGACTCCTCTGTTCTCTTGGCTACAGAAGCCATTCACTGTTTAATTTAACAGTCGTCTATCTACCTACCCACACAAAGACACCATCAGCCCAATGCCAGACAAATCTGTAGGAACATAACTCCCCTCAGAAGTGAAGGAACAGATTATTTAAAAATAAACTTTCAAATTTGCAGGTAGAAACTTACAGAAAAAACAAACCTTGACTGGAAAGTCCATTCACCCTTTATCTACCTACCAGGACCCAAGTTCAGGATTTTGTGCTTTTCTTGGAAACAGAGGAGCACTGTCCTACCCCATCCCTGCTTTAGGTGGCCTGGTTATGTTCCAACCAGCTGTTCCTGGGGTAACACAGAATCTTGAACTCAGGTCTGGGCAGGTAACGGTTGACGTTCACCTGTAAGGTCAGGAAACAGCCCCTAGGGAATTCCAGGTCAGAGTCAAGGTGAGATTGTGCATGCACCCAACACAATCCATCCAACAGTCTAGGTTCACAAATTGTCAATGGCAGAAAACCAGCCCACTTGTCTCCCTCCACCCATTCTTGGGTGTCACTTTTTGGGCCCCTGGATGCCATAGCAGCGGTGACCAGTCAGGAATGGGGTAGAGCATGGTGTAGAGCTTTCATAAAATGCCCCTCCCTCCATGCCAAATATGTGGCACCCTTCTGGGAGTGTGCTGGCTGACACTGCAGCATGACACTAATGGCACAACCACTCCCTCACATTCATGATTAGCATCTCACAGAGGAGTCAGTCAGCCCCCAGCAGAGGGCTCCTGTCACAAATCCTGCCATGCGGGGGCAGGAGGGACCCAGCCCTGCAATTACCCCACAGACCTATGGGGTTATTAATGACTCAGGGGGACAGGCAGCTGCAGACTACTAAAGCGAAAATACACCCTCGCTCAAAGCTGTAAATAGCCCCAAAGGCAGCTTCGGGTGAGGGATGAACATATCTAGAGACCCAATTATTTATTTCCTTCTTGCTGAAACCAGCCTACCCAGCTGCCTGTGCTGTATGGCGTAACCCCTTCAGTGCCACACTCAGCAGAACCTGGAAATAGAGGAGGGTTGGTTTTCTGATTAAGGCCCTGGAGTGGGACCTGAGAGATCAGGGTTCAGTTTCCAAGCATGCTGGGAGATATCAAATGCATTCCTTAAATCAAAAGATGCCAGTGATGGTGTGTATCTGTTTCTCAACTTGGGCACCCAAAACCTGTGGCAAATTTTGAAAATGCTGGTTCTGTTCTCTTTGTGCTTCAGCCTCCCCTGCTGCAAAGCGGTGGATGGCGAGGGCTAACCCCTGAACAGCAAGACGTGCGCTAGACACGACAGTGCTGGAGGTCACAAAAGTTCCTAGCTAGTGGCTCTTTAGCCATGGCTGGGAATTCCCACACCTGCCCAATGTCTTGTGTTCCAATGGGTGCTGGACAAAGGCATGCACAGGCATGTTCCAGCAGCACGGATGAAGGTAATATGTTGGACAGGAGGGACAATTTCTCCTCCAGGAAAATGCACTCAGGCCCCTGAGAACTCCCTCCTCTGCACTTAAAGACATGCTCTGATTAGGAATTATTCTGGGGAAGTTGTGTGGCCTGCGCTATACAGGTCGGACTATGATCACAGCAATCCCTCCTGGCCTTGAATCTATAGCATTTCCAGACTCACTGAGCGGGAGAGGGTGGAGTGATGGCAGGACTGAGGGCTTTCGCGGGTGTGCTTAGTCACTCCCTCCCCCCACCGGGAAGGAAGGAACAATTCACATAATGAGATGACTGTTGAGTTGTGTTCTCCAACATGACTGGTGAAAGCAACTGTTGTGCCAGGAGAGAGCTGCATCCTTGTGAAGCCCAAAATGAGGAGACAGGAGCTTGGGTTTGCAGGAAAAGTAAATCTAATCCTCAAAGGGATCTAGTGGGAGTGTCTCTGACATCACTGGAACAGGGTTAACCAAAACCTGCATTAATCACTAGTTAGCAACAGCTCTGGGGGTCTAGTTGCATGAGGCAGCCAGGACTGGGCCTAATGTGTTAGCCACTCCACAGGGTCCTTCTGGAGCTAGTCACCAGGATTTTGTCTCCTAGTTCATTTGTCAGTTCCCAACTGTCTGGGGGTAACCTGACTCCCAAGTCACTGCACCTGTGTTGCTGGCTTAGAAAGTGATGCTAGTGACTGTCCACTGTGGGAGATTTGCACAAGGCCATGCTCCTGATGTTGCTGGGATCAACAAATTATGTTAGCAGTGGAGTTCAGTGACAATGGATGTCTGGGGCATGGAGGGGGTGTTAATTTGCCCAATCCACAGCCTAAGCTTTCTCCCTCCGGCAAGGGTGCCCATACCTGTGAGGTACATCTCCTCCCCTTCCGTGAACATCTGGTGGCAGCGGACGCATCTGGCACAGGTTGGGTGGTAGTGCTTCCCTCCTGCCTACAAAACAAGGAGGGGAAAATGGCCCTAAGCAAGTAGAAAATGCAGGTCCACTTTTGCCTCCATTCCTCTGAGTGTGAGCTGCCCAGTCCCTTTCCAAGGCCTGTTGCTTGCAGTGCAAAACACAAAACAAAATGGAAGAGCCTAGCAAAGGAGAGCCAGGATCCCAACAAGGAACCACAGATGACAGACAAGAAGACTACCATCATCTTTGGCATGATGCATGAAGAGAACGCATGTCCAGGGTCCCATTTCCTGCAAGCAAACTGAGCACAAGGTGGATGTGCAATGCTACCCACTCAGAACAGCCCTTCCCACTCACCTGACAGTGGGGTAAATGGCTAAACTGCAGGGCAGCAGGGTATGTCTACACTACAAAGTTAATTCAAAATAACAGCAGTTATTTCGAATTAACTTTAATAGCGTCTACACAGGCAAACCGCTATTTTGAAATAAATTCGGAATAGTGGAGCCCTTATTTCGAATTTGGTAAACCTCATTCTACAAGGAATAATGCCAAATTCGAAATAGCTATTTTGAATTAAGTGCTGTGAAGACACTTAATTCGAAATAGGGGGCCTCCAGCCCATCCCAGAGAGCCCTGGTGGCCACTCTGGGCACAACCAGGAAAGCTTACTCTCCTCTCCTCCAGCCCCGGAGACATTATAGGGGTAGACCCTGGCCACAGTGCCTGTGCCAGCTTCAAGCCTGCCAGCCCAGAGCCAGCAGTGACCACCAGGGGCCCTGACCCAGTGGCCCCAAAACATGAGCCAGCAAACCAGTCCTCCGCCACTCCCCAGGATCAGTCTGCCAGCTCGCAGGAGCCTAAGAAGGTAATGCCTTCCTTATCCAGGGTGGAGATCATGGACCTTCTTCAGGTTTTGGGGGGGGGAATGCCCCCAACATCCACGACCTCCGCACTCGGCACAGGAATGTGGCCATCTAAGGCAGGATAGCTGCCAGCCTGGCCACCAAAGGCCACATGTGAACCCAGGAGCAGGTTTGCATGAAAGTCAAGTTGGTCCGATGAGACCTCCAACCATGAGCCCTGAGCTTCCCCACCCCATTCTTCCCCTTGCTTCCCCCTTCCAGCTCACTCCTCCCAGGCTTCCCCCTCCCCTCTCCCACCCTCTCTCTTCCCTTCTCCCACCTCCTTTTCCCCATCTCCCCAGCCGGTCACCCCCCAGTTTCTATTTTTGAACATGCGTTTGTTTTATTTGACATCAGGAAGGGGGACTAGGGAGGGGTAAGTGGAAGGATGTGAGGGAGGAATGGGGTATGAGTCCTGGTGGGGAGGACCAGGGAGGCTCTGAGGGCTCCTTGGGGTGGACGCTCTCCCTCAGGGCCTCCTGGATCCTGACAGCCCCCCGATGGACCCCCCGGAGGGCAGCCTGCAGCAAGTGTAGCCGGGCTTATGGCAATGACCCCACGAGACGCACCGGCGTGCCCACGGGTAGCTCTGGCTCCATGTGGCCGAGTGCTGTGGTGTCTCTCATCGAGTTAGACAAGCAAGTGGGAACCCTGAGAACAGTCTGTCTGGGGTGGGGGTAGGGTCCCTTTAAGCACAGAGCTCAGTTAGCCTCAGGCAGCAGCCCCACACACTAAGTCCTAACCTGATGCCCTGCCAGCACTGGTTCTGGCCAGCCTTACCTTCAATTCAGGGTCCACTCAATGTGTACACGCTATTTTGAATTAGAAAAATGCTATTTCGAATTAATTTTGGTGTCTAAATGCGCTATTTTGAATTAGCTTAATTCGAATTAACTAATTCGAAATAAGTTAATTCGAAATAGTGCTGTAGTGTAGACATACCCGCAGAGAATTAGGTCCAGGTAGCTCCCGACCAACAAACTAGGAACCAAATCCTACAATCTTTGACTCGCACAAGTACATCTCAAAGTCAACAGTATTATTTATCTGAGCAAGGACTTACTGGATCCATTTTTGCATTTGCTTTCAGAAGGATTCTGTAGATGTAGCCCAGAAATGTCCTATAGTTTGGCTATGGAGCAATGTTCTCCACCAGTTCCCACCCCAAGCAACTCCCTTGGAGTTGGATAGGATGCCCCTTTTGGCCAGGATAAGTCATAGATGGTATAGGTGCCTGTCACTGGGATTTTTAGCATCTTAGGAGAGGGAGAGAGACACACCCACAACAGTACAAGAAGTACACTAGGTTTCATTTTGCAGCCCATTCCAATGGAATGAAAGTGAAAATAATTCCTGCTTTTTTCCCTTACCCTGATTTCTTGGGACTCTCTAGAATTTTTTTTCTATTTTCTCAGTTGTGATATAGCTGGTCTGTTCTTCCTGCACTTTGACAAGGATAATAGATTTAATTGCTAGCTTGTTTCCTCTCAAAATGTCTGCAAGAATTTTGTTTCCTGGGCTTCCAAGCTAAGAGGCAGCAACTGGCTCAGGGCTGTACTGAAAACTGGTCTGTGCTGTATAGAGCATAACCCCCAAGGGACATTTTACAATAATAACAACAGAAGGGGGAAGGACTATTTAAGGCTGGTAAGAGAATAAAAGGAGGAGGAAGGACTATTGTTGTGTCTAACTAACCTGTTTCTTTTGTATCAGGAAACAATGAGGAGAATAGGATAATTAACTCCATCATGAGAAAGGTTCTCACTAGATTACCTATACTAATCCTATACCTATCTCATAGAACTGGAAGGGACCTTGAAAGGTCATAGAATCATAGAGCTGGAAGAGACCACAGGAGGTCATCAAGTCCAGACCCCTACCCAAGGCAAGACCAATCCCAATTAAATCAACCCAGCCAGGGCTTTGTCAAGCCGAGACTTAAACACCTCTAGCGAAGGAGATTCTATCACCTCCCTAGGTAACCCATTCCAGTGCTTCTCCACCCTCCTAGTGAAATAGTTTTTTCTAATATCCAACCTAGACCTCCCCCACTGTATCTTGAGACCATTGTTCCTTGTTCTGTCATCCGTCACTACTGTGAACAGCCTTTCTCCATCCTCTTTGGAACCTCCCTTCAGGAAGTTGAAGGCTGCTATCAAATCCCCCCCTCACTCTTCTCTTCTGCAGACTAAACAAACCCAAATCCCTCAGTCTCTCCTCATAGGTCATGAACTCCAGCCCCCTAATCATTTTGGTTGCCCTCTGCTGGACCCTCTCCAATGCGTCCACATCCTTTCTATAGTGTGTGTGTATGTGTGTGTGGGGGGGGGACCAGAACTGGACACAGTACTCCAGATGTGGCCTCATCAGAGCCAAATAAAGGGAAATAATCACTTCTCTGGATCTGCCAGCAATGCTTCTCCTAATGCAACCTAATATGCCATTATCCTTCTTGGCTACAAGGGCACACTGTTGACTCATATCCAGCTTCTCATACACTGTAACCCCCAGGTCCTTTTCTGCAGAACTGCTACCTAGCCATTTGGTCCCCAGCCTGTAACAATGCTTGGGATTCTTCCATCCCAAGTGCAGGACGCTACACTTGTCCTTGTTGAACCTCACCATTTTTCTTTCAGCCCAATCCTCTAATCTGTCCAGGTCACTCTGGATCCTATTCCTGCCCTCCATCGTATCTACCTCTCCCCCTAGCATAGTGTCATCTGCAAACTTGCTGAGGGTGCAATCCATCCCCTCATCCAGGTCATTAATAAAAATGTTGAACAAAACTGGTCCAAGAACAGATCCTTGGGGCACTCCGCTAGAAACCGACCGCCATCCTGACATCGAGCCGTTGATCACTACCCGCTGGGTCCAACAGTCTAGCCATCTTACAGTCCATTTATCCAATCCATATTCCCTTAACTTGCTGGCAAGAACATTGTGGGAGAGGGTAACAAAAGCTTTGCTAAAGTCAAGGTATATCAATCACATCCACTGATTTTCCCATATCCACAGAGCCAGTTACCTCATCATAGAAGCTAATCAGATTGGTCAGGCACGACTTGCCCTTCGTGAATCCATGTTGACTATTCTTGATCACTTTCCCCTCTTCCAAGTGCTTCAAAATGGATTTCTTGAGGATCCCTTCCATTATTTTTCTGGGGACTGAGGTAAGGCTGACTGGTCTGTAGTTCCCTGGATTGTCCTTCTTTCCTTTTTTAAAGATGGGCACTACATTTCCCTTTTTCCAATCATCCGGGATCTCTCCCGATCTCTACAAGTTTTCAAAGATAATGGCCAAAGGCTCCACAATGACATTTGCCGACTCCCTCAGTACACTCAGATGCATTAAATCCGGGCCCATGGATTTGTGTATGTTTAGCTTTTCTAAATAGTTCCTGACTTGTTCTTCCCCCACCAATGGCAGTCCAACTCCTTCCCATACTGCGTTTCCTGGTGCATTTGTCTGGGAGCTGACCTTGTCCATGAGTACTTCAGCTTTTCCCACATCATCTTTCACTAGGTTATCTCCCTCATCCAGTAAGGGCCCCACACCCTCTCTGCACCCTCTTATTGATAACATGCCTGTATAAACCTTTCTTGTAACCCTTTACATCCCTTGCTAGCTTCAATTCCAATTGCGCTTTTGCCTTCCTGATAACTCCCCTACATTCTCGAGCAATATATTTATACTCCTCCATGGTCATATGTCCAAGTTTCCACTTCTTGTAAGCTTCCTTTTTGTGTTTAAGCTCACCAAGGATGTCCCCGATAAGCCAATCTGGTCACCTCCCATATTTGTTTTTCTTGCTGTGCATGGGGATGGTTTCTTCTGGTGCCTTTAATAAGGCTTCTTTAAAATACTGCCAGCTCTCCTGGACTCCTTTCCCCTTCACGTAAGCATCCCAGGGAATCCTGCCCATCAGTTCTCGAAGGGTATGTCTACACTACCCCGCTAGTTCGAACTAGCGGGGTAATGTATGCATACCGCACTTGCTAATGAAGCCCGGGATTTGAATTTCCCGGGCTTCATTAGCATAAGCGGGGAGCCGCCATTTTTAAATCCTCGCTGCTTCGAACCCCGTGCAGCGCGGCTACACGGGGCTCGAACTAGGTAGTTCGGACTAGGTTCCTATTCCGAACTACCGTTACTCCTGTTATTTCAAAATAGATTTCAAAATAATGGGTTTGCTACTCTGGTGTTCCTGTAAGCCTTGTTTCATGAGGGCTAAGGGACTTGTTAGAATAGTGCTTTACTTCAAAATTACTTCAAAATAAGCTTATTTCGACACACCCTACATGAGCAAGGGCAAGTAACTAGGACAAGCAAAGCAGTCTCCACTGACTAGAATATTTTTGGACCATATCTTTCTTTTAAATATATTGTATATTTTAAATAATCTATTCAAGTGCTTCCACGTTTTACAATTCCTAAACTGGCTCTGCCACTAAAAATCTAAAACACTCCCCCTTGGATTTGCCAGTAACCCATTACTGGAATAGCTGGTTATTGCAGGTTAGGTCAGCACTGAGCTGCATTGGAGGAGCAGGCCTTAAATAAGATGGGGTACTGTGGGTCAGCACAGAAATACACTAGCCGGGTTGTGCAGAGCAGAGTATACTGAAATTCAGGCCTGTCTTCCCCTTTAATCAACAGCTCTGAAACACACATCCACAATTTAAAACACAACAGTCCCTCTGCAAGGAGAAGTGATTACACTTCAAAAGCAGAATGCAACAACCTTGTTTATTTTATATTGATTAAAATTACAGCCATTGTGAGTGAAGAGACCTGCTCATTACTACTTGGGGTCCCTTAAAGACTCATTAATCATTCAAGGCTGACTACACAGCTCACAGTCATTTGGAAAACCCAGAGGGTCATGGGATAGCACAAGAAAGCTCATTAAGGCCTAAAATTATTTAAAGATGCCTCTTCTATTTTGAGCTCTTCTAGACAAGACAATGAAAGCCTACTGCTTTAAGGAAAATAATTCAGACTGAATTCCTCAGCATCCCATCGTAGCGTAGTGACTGGCTTGTGATTGCATTGGCTGGTCAGAGATCTAGAAGGAGCCCTCTGCAGGGATATGCAGGAGCAGAAAAGGCATGGGAGAAAGATGAGGGGCCGCTCAAATGCCAGGGCATGACTGAATAGGGATTATGATGTAACACTGCATTAGCTTTTTGGAAAGATAGGTCAAGAAATGCCCAAGGAGCTCTCTGTGTCCCCATTCCTCTGAAGCCTTCGCTGCACAGCATATCTGCTCCTCATGCCCTCCCTCAGCTCCATTCCAAACCTGGATGAAAGTCACTAACAGACTCTGCCCTGAGGTACCCCAGAGCCCAAGTGATTTATTTCCAGACCATTTGGTCACTATTACACAAGCAGTTGCCTTGCTTGGGCTTAGGGAATCCTACCTGCCTGTCACAGCAGAAATCTCAGCTAACAGTGGATAGATGATGTTCAGAATGCTGCACACAGACCGAAGTGGCATAACATGGACAGTGACGAGGCAGAAGAGCAGCGTGGCAGAATTAAGCATAGCAAGGCGAGGCAATTCCTCCTACTCTATATTCCCCCCAGGGAATCACTTTCTAGGTACAGCTCTGCCCTTCTGCTCCCCCCAGCACGCAATGACTCCACTGATCCATTTATTCATCTTTGAAGGGATCCAAAGATTTAGATGAGGTCACAAAGAGAGTCAGTGTCACAGCCAGGATTAGAGCTCAAGAGTCAGCCATAGTTCCCTGAAGGGGTGGGGAAGGGACTGGGTGACCCAGCCGGCTGGGTAAAGGGGTCCAGAGATTTTCACTTCAAGGTCACTGTTTTGAAGCTAGCCCAGGTCACTACATACCAAAAGTAGTTATCATCTCACACTCTTTGGTAGCTCCTACAGATTGAGTGAGGGGCCTCAATCCAGCTACCCCCACAGCTGCTGTCTGCCTCAGCAGGGAAGCCGTGGAAACTGCCCCCTGCAAACATGATGCCTGTCCCGGGGAACACATAGGACTCCACTCTTCAGGACACTAAATGAACCTGAAACATTTCTTTAAAAAAGCAGCTATGTCCAGAGAAAGCAGAAGTCAGCAGGTTCCTCTGCTGACACATCTGGATTTCATGTTCTCAGGGTGTCAGCGTTAGAAAAGCCCCCCCATGCCTTCTGCCTTGGGCTAACCTGACCTGTGAACCATGAGGAGCCCAAGACACCTCCTCCACTGTGCCCTGAGCAACAGCACTTGGAATGAGCACCATTAAAGGGATGGGGTGAGCTACTAAAAAACGACACCTACAGCCTTGCAGGGATGCAGAAAATAGGCAGGTCCTTTGAGGTGAGTCCCTGTTATAAGAACAAGCCAATCCTGCGTGGGCTCACCAATATCATTCGCACACAGCCCTGTCCTAGGTGTCCCTAGCCTCTGTTTGAAGCTGGGAGTGGGCAACAGGGGTTGGATCCCTTGGTAATGACCTGCTCTGTTCATTCCCTCTGGGGCACCTGGCATTGGCTGTTGTCAGAAGACTAGATACTGGGCTAGATGGGCCTTTGGTCTGACCTAGTATGGATGTTCTTATGTTCTCCTCTACACTGGCCTCTCTCCCATGGGCTCATTCTGCCAGCCTAAAGAGGGTGGCTAGTGGGCTTGGCTCAGGCCTATTCATTCCCCTTGCAGACAGCTCTGGCGTGCCTCTTCCTTGCTAGTACACAGCCTCCGTGGTGCATGTGTTGCCATGGCAACTCGGGGGGTGGGGTGGAGTCTGGCCACAAGCAGGCTCCTAGGTAACTGCATTGAGAGAAGCATCTGAAAAATGTGCCAGAGTCACCAGGAGAGAAGGTGCAGTAATTGATGGTTCTCCCGGGTGCTCAGTCATGTCCGTGCAGTACCCGGGAGATGTGCTGGCAAAGTCCCTGGTGACTGGAGAAAGTGGCTAGAACTGGGGAAGGGAGGGTCCCTCTGAGGAGGCACTGAATTCCTGCTCTGTGCTGGGCAAGGCACTCTGGATATATACCACACTGCCTCTGCCCTTCTCCCTTCCTCTCTGATGCTCAGATATTATAGTGTCGGGCACGGTGCCATATTAGAAGCACACTGATCCCTAGGAAATCACCAATTAGGCATCCTTGCTACTTACATATACAGGCACCTGCCACGTGGAGGAGGCATCTCCCTTCACCCTGCCACTTGTGCTATAGCAGTGGTTCCCAACCTGTGGTCCACGGACCCCTGGGGTCAGTGATGGTACTGTAGAGGGTCCGTGGAAAGTTGGGAGCTTAGAGGCTCCGTGCCAGCAGCCAGCAAGTCCCTCAGCCTGCGCTGCTTCCTGAGTGGGCCAAGTGCCCAGGGAATTAGTAGCACAACCAGGAATGGAGGTGAGGGCCCGCAGTGCCCTGTTCCAGCCCACAGATCACACTGCCTTTCAGTCATTTGCATCACCTGAGTGGGACTGGAGGGGCTACAGGCTGCAGAGTGTGATTTAGGGAACACTCAGTTAAAATGGTGCTGTGCTTAGGTCACCAACAAAAAAATCTTAGGGGGTCACCTCTGCATGGGGGTTCCAAGATGGTTCCTTTGCATCCCGGGTGGGATTCACTTGCCCTGGCCCTCTGCTGCTGGAAGGAAGCTAGCAGTCCCCTGCCTGCCCCAGCTTACCTCCAGGACCCTGCCACTGATGTACCGGTTGCAGGTCTCACACTTAATGCCGAACTGGGCATGGTAGTCAGATTCGCAGTATGGAACGCCATCCCTTTGGAGAAGAGAAGGAGACAGGAAATGAGAGTAGGGGGGAGGGCACGGAGCAACCGAGAGATCCACCCATCTGTCCAATGCTAGTGGCTTTCACTACATCAGATGGTGCAACCAAGATGCGGCCTGTATGAGAACGACTTCCCTAGAGGGCATTTGCTAGGCAGCTCTTTCTGCTGTCAGGGGAGTAAGCAAGTGATCATGGGAAAGCTGGCTGTGAACCAAGTGGGCAGCTTCATCAGTCATCATCCCTCCTCCACAGGCTCGTCTCCCATCCCTAGCCCTGCTCCTTCACTCCCCCCCAATCCTGAGCCCTGCCTCTTCCCACCTTCTCCCCCCACTCCCAGCCCTGCCTCTTCTCCCCCTCAGCTCCAGCCCTGCTCCATGTTCCCAAAGCCAGCCCCTGCCCCTTCCCCAACAGCCTCTTCTCCCCTCCCATAACCCCTCCCCTCTCTCTTCCCCACATCACCAGCCCCATCCCTCCCCACCTTCTTCCCCCCAACCTCAGCCCTGCCCCCCTCAGCTCTCCTTTCCTATCCCAGTCCTGCCTTTCCCATGCCAGCCCCTGCTCCTGCCCCCTCAGACGCACCTCCCCTCCACACCCTCTCCCACAGGCTCTCCTCATCCTTCCCCCCATCTGCTCCCCTCCCCTGTCAGATTGTTTCCCCTGCTCATTGCTGTTCCATACAGGAGCAAGATAAGGATTATATTACAAGGATCATCTTCAAGCCTCGTGCTTCTCCCAGAGAGCAGTTCCGACTGCAAGGGGCGTCTTCCTGCAGGTCAGGTGCTTGATCCCCCACCCCAGCAAGGCCAGGCTCATGCAGCCCCTCCTGCCCCAACCTCTGAGAGGGGATTCAGGGCTCCCAGGCTGCCTGTAGGCGGGCTCCATGGTGTCTCAGACCCACCACATCTGCACACACCACAGCAGTTGTTCAGAGCTGCTGGCCCTTGACCAGCGTCAGAGAAGAAGGTGGAGGGGGCTCCTGGGACAGCCAAGCTGTGCTCTGGAGTCTGAGTAGGCGGAGAGGAGTGGTACGAGAGTACAATGGAATTACTCTTGCCTGCTAATGCAACTGAATGCGCCTGCAGCCTCCTAGGGGCCCTCTAGCCTGGCCTGTAAAAGCCTGACAGCGGGCATGCTTCAAGTGCCAGAAACCTAGCATGTAGAGCAAGAAAGCCTTTCTCTGCCACTTGCCCTCAGCCCCTGTCAGTCACAAACACACGGTGACGCACAGCCCTCGAGGCTGCTGCTGTGCCCAACTCCACAGTGACCAAGGACAGTCACCTGGGTCGGAAGCACAGGCCACTTGAGGTAATGGAGACTCTGCTCTTGGGGAGCAGGTCCCAGGCCTGTGAGATGCACTTATGCAGGTGCGCTCTTCCATTCAGAAGGGGGCATGCGTGTCACATACTCACCAGCCAGCCTGTCTCCTGCACACTAGCATATCTTGGCGGGACACTGATCCTCCTCCCCAACCTGGTGAGCCCCTTCCCTAAGTCTCCTCTCAAGTGTGTCTAGCACTTCCAGGAAGCAGCCTGTCCACCCAGCCGTGGGGTGCGTGTGGAGAGAGGTGATCAGCTGCCCACCCAGAATCCAATTCTAGGGTATGTGCTTCTCGAGCCCCTGCAGCTTGAGGGGTGAGGGGAGTTGTGAGCCTGCAGCAATGCCAGGGGCCCTTGTTCTCTTTCCTGCCTCCCCAGTGAGTGGCCGCCGTGCAGGGAAGGACATGGGTAGGGACGCGGAGATGCTCACTTGCTGATGTACTCGCCAGTCAGGATGATCCCGCAGGTTTGGCACTTGAAGCAGCTGACGTGCCACTGTTTCTCCAGGGCCAGGAGTGACTGGCCGTGCTTGATCTCCTCCTTGCAGCCTGCACAGTCTGGGGAGACAAGGAACAGTGCATGAAACCACCACAGCTTCCTGTCCGAAGGGGCTCTGCAGCCTGGTGAAGGCACAGCTGGAAAACTCACATGCGGTGAAATCACAGGGATTGGCAACACGGACATGCGCTTCCCTGGCAACCCTGCTCCCATCTCACTTTCATCTAGAGCAAGGTGCTGTGACTCGCATATTGCGAACTCTGCCCAAGCTAGAGGGGGCTTGTGGAGACAGTTCGTTGACGTGGGACATCACTCCCTAGTTTTAGGGCTGGATCTGGTCCGCAGTGTTAGTCCCTGGCGGGCCCCCACCGCTATGTTTACGTGCACCTCTGCAGGCATCAGGCGATCATAGCTCTCGTTGGCCGCAAATCGCCATTCACAGCCAATGAGCTCTGAGATCGTCCGATTCCTGCAGAGGTGCAGGTAAACATAGTGGCGGTGGCCCGCCAGGGACTAACCCTGGTGAGCTGCCTTTTTTTTAATTGCCAAACCCTGTTCTAGCTAGTGCAGCTAAAAATAGCAGCAAAGACACAGTGGCATGGACCCGGGACTGAGTTGTACAAGTTTGCCAGAATCCTGAAGACAAACTCATGTTGCTAGCCCATGCCAGGGTCCATGACACTCTGTCTTGATGGCTCTTTTTAGCCAGGCTTAGTAGAATCAAGCTTGCAGTGTAGCCATGCCAGCCTGGCCAGTGTAGCCAGTACACACGCATTTCCATACACAGAACCAAACAGAGAGAAGAGCACACTTGTGCACAAATGATGTGTCTAGACTACAGTTTTTTTTTAAAGTGGCTTTTTTTTCGAAAAAACTTCCCCTGCGTCTAGACTGCTGCCATGTTCTTCTGAAAGCGAATTGAAAGAACGCGGCAGTTTTTCGACCGTGGAAAACCTCGTTTTACGAGGAAGAATGCCTTTTTTCCAAAGTGCTCTTTCGAAAAAAGGCGCTATGTAATGCAAACCGTGCTTTCTCAAGAGAGCGTCCAGTGTGCCTGGGTACTCTCTTTCGAAAAAGTGGCTTGCTTTTTCGAAAATACTGGTTGTATTCTAGACGTTCTTTTCAAAAGAGGCTTTTTCAAAAGTATCTTTCGAAAAAGCCTTCTTTGAAAGAGGCTTGCAGTCTAGATGTAACCAAACATGCAGCATCAGAGCACTCACTCCCTGTTCTCTCCCGGAATCGGACTCCTGTTTCACCCTCTGGTAGGAGCAGTGGGAGAAACCTCCAGTTGGAGCTGTGTCCCGACACACATTGCGTTTCTCTTGTGGGAATGTTCAGCATGTGCCCTAATGAGCACCAGCACTTTGTGTATTGCGTAGAAAGAGCTGGCTCCTGAGAGGGAAACTGGTGTGGTGGTCTGGCGCACAGAAGGTGCAGACAGGACATGGGCAAAATGCACGGGGAGCTGGCCACGAGTCCACAGAGCAACAGGCACCCCCAGCCTCCCACAAAACAGTCTCACTGGATGGGTGTCAGGGCGGGGCCAACCAGCTTGCTTCGGCCTGGTTTCAAGCTGCTTTTCTGAGATCGTTACAGTGAACGCTGGCAGGAAGGCATGTTTGGAAGGGGAATAAAATGCTGGTGACAGCCAAGTCCCAGCTTAGGCAGATGGGTGAGTGGGCATGAAGCAGTCTGGTGAGTCCAGGGTCTCTTTGCCAAACTTTTCGCAGTGTTACTAGCAGCAGCTCAGCTCCACCAGTGGAAAATCTGGTACTGAGCAGGGTCTACCCACCTCAGGTCATGAGGTAGGTGACTGTGTTCATAGCTGCCAATTTCCGCTCTAACCAGGGGGTACTCACCCACCCTGCCCCAGGCCGCACATTCACTACACCCCTTCTCCCAAACCCCTGCCCCCACATACCCCTTCCTCCAGCCTTTTCACAGCAGCAAGAGGTTCTGGGAGGGAGAGGGAAGAATAGATCAGTGGAGCCACTGGTGGGTGGGAGGCACTTGGGGGGAAAAGGGAGAGTTTACTCATAGACTTTAAGGTCAGAAGGGACCATTATGATCATCTAGTCTGACCCCCTGCACAGTGCAGGCCACAGAATCTCACCCACCCCTCCCAGAATAATCCTCTCACTTATATCTCAGATATTGAAGCCTTCAAATACTTTGAAGACCCCAAGATGCAGAGAATCCTCTAGCTGTGATCTGTACCCCATGCTACAGAGGAAGGCGAAAAACCTCCAGGGCCTCTGCCAATCTACCCTGGAGGAAAATTCCTCCCCGACCCCAAATATGGCGATCAGCTAAACCCTGAGCATGTGGGCAAGACTCATCAGCCAGACACCCAGAAAGTTCTCTATAGTAACTCCTATCATCCCTCCATTGACCTATTTCCAACTGGAAATGAATGGTCAATTAGTTACCAAGATCATGTTATCTCATCAAACCATCCCCTTCATAAACCAATCTAGTTTAATCTTGAAACCAGATAGATCTTTTGCCCCCACTACTTCCCTTGGAAGGACGTTCCAGAACCTCACTCCTCTAATGGTTAGAAACCTTCGTCTAATCTCAAGTTGAGGAATGGCTTTTGCAGAGAGCGAGTTTAGAAGTCAGTGAAGGTCCCTACTTGGTAAATGTGAATTCCAGGGAGTGTTAGAACAGCTTTGTAATTACATTACTATAAGCATAGGAGGCTGCATTCCTACACTGGTGAAATTCAAATCAATGGGAGTCTTGACTAAGTGTAGATTGGAGTATCCCAACTTACTTTTTGTTTGTATTATAATAGCTGCCACTGTGTTGTAAGTGAACTATCACTGGCACAAGCAACCAACACAGAGTACAAAACAAATCTGAGTGGCTTACAGGGTGTGCTCATGAAGCCTTTGGCAAAGATTAATGCTGATTGCTGTAATAGGAGATACTCTTTCTAAAAAGGAAAAAGGCTGGTGGTCTGTCATCTGATTTCAGTGTATGTATATTTAATTGGACCTAAGGCCAATGATCCCTTGCTCAAGTGCATGCTTCATAATCTACATTGTCGTACCTCGGTGTTTTCGTACCTCGGTACCTTCGGTGGTCTGGACTGTCAGTGTCAGCGTCGTCTGGTCAGGGTTGTCCTGGCGTGCTCCTGACAGGACCTCTACTCCGTTGTTAAACTTTCGGCTGCGTGCATAACAATCGGTACTCCCTTTATCTAGAGTGTTAGACCC